AGATGCCGGTCTAGATGGGAAAATCTAGACCGCGGTCAATATCGATTTCAGCCAATCAAATTCGTAAATTCGGTAGTTCCCAGTCCTTGTCAGACACAGCCATGTAATAATGTGAAATATTGACCCTCTTTCTTCTTTGTAGGGACAGTCGCTGCCCTCGGTCCAAACTGCCACGCCCTCGTGCCAATATTCCCAAGTACGGCTATCGCGCTCGGTCAGTAAGAAGTTAATATTGATAGACTTTGTCAGGCGTCTGGATATTTGGATCTCCCTTGACTCTTATGAAATGCGCATAGAAACGTTTTCAAACATAATAGATTATTTCAGGAGCAGAATCCTGTAATGTAACCTAGACATAAAGATGATTACGGTGTGATTTCCTATTTGGAGACTATTAGTTGTCTTAATATTAACTGGCGGTTTGAAGGTTTAAAAGTCATAAAGATTCTGAAAGAAATAAGTCGCATAGCAAACAGATTCCAACTTAAGTCAGTTCTACAAAATATTAACCTTTCGCATGATCGCACTTGCATGACTCGAGCCCAAAGCCCCCGCGTTCGCGCTCGTTCAATTCCCCCGCGGTTTTTTATTTTGCTCGCGCCCTCGACGATAATATTACAAAAAATAGAAGGTCTGTGAACAGACTACATCAAAAGACTTGCACAATAAAATAAAAAATTAAAAATATAATGGCTATATATTACTAATTTCAACACATTCTTTCCACTACTGACATCCATTCATGTAGAGCAGGTGGATTGTACAACTGCTGCTGCTGCTGCTGCAAAATCATTAGGATGCCAATCATCTGATGGCTCGGCAGTAATAACGGACGATCAGGTAGAGTATGTGACCAGTTTGACAGAGATTTGGGTCATCACGCAACATTCTTTACAAAGTGTTGCGTGACCATGACCAACCAATTAACGTAGGAGGTTGTTACACTCAACAGTAATATTACCACAGAAATAGCAAGCGCAACAAACATGTTCATATTGTTTTAATAATTTCCAATAGTGTCAAAACACCGTTATCAACAAAGACGACACAAAAGCCTGAACTCTGTGACTCCTTGAATAGGTGTCACTACGACACATGTGAGAACTTGATACAAAAAATCAGAAATGAAAAGTCAATAGAGGAACACTGGCATATTCTATACTTTGATGTGAGATACTGTGTCAAGAAAGGTTGTCCTACAGAAAGCGTACACGTCAAAGCCAAAAACATATTATGGTTGTTGGTGGTTCACAGTTGCTTGATTGAAGCTCAAGGTGTTCCAGCATGATTGAATGAAACAGCTTAAACACATGTATCATCTTGAAGAAACACTGTGAACCTCAACCAAGCAATGTTAGACTATTACTACCTATACCCAATCAAACTATTATGCTTTTGTAGGACAACCCTTGTTGAAAGGGCAGTATGTAACAAAACATCTGTTTGGAAGTAGCATGGCTCAGTAGTGGTAGACTATTAGCAAACTCGTAATCTGATTGGCTGAACCTGTGCCATCTGTCATGTGATAGAAGGCCATAAGAAGGCATGCAAGGTCTCTTGAGCATTATGGCCAAATCAAAACCTTCAATGAGTTTCACTGATATTTGATGTTTAATAACCCAGCCACTAGGACATACTAAAACAATGTCATAAAGACTGTTTTCTGTTGGTTCCTGTAGACTTTGATAGTTGACTTGGGGCTTTGCTTACCAACTATTAGCCACTTGTTTATTAAGTCAAATTATTTTCACATCTTGATTGGTTGTTATGATCTTTTGGAGGAAAGATGTATAGTTGACATCATTTACATTTTTTTGTTTCTATATTATACAAAACAGATAGATTCCATGTTGGTGTGCATCTGTTTTAGAAAAAGATCACAGAAGACATCAAAATGTTGTAAGAACATAAGTAGCACACTCACTTAATGGCTTAAGTGTCAGTTTTGTTCTGACCACATTTTGACATCATTTGTGATCTACTGCTGAACAGATGCATGGCAACAAGGCATCTATTTTTTAAAGAGTTAAGCAGTGGTACTTACAAAACATCTGCGTACCTGGCTGATAAATTGATATTACCACAGAAAGGGGAGGGAGAGTTGACTGCACTTTGTGTTCAACAATTCTAATTTATTTTCAAGGCATTATTAATACTGATTTGCTGACAATGTTTTAAGGGCTATGTATGAAGAGAAAGCTTATGCTTTGTAGACAAAGGTAAGGTAGCCCTCATAAATTCACAACCGAAATCAATTATAACAAAAGGACAGGAAAATAAACAATCTGATCTTCTCACGTAACACCTTGACTTCAAACCAAATTGATCTTCAAAGGATGTCGCATAAATTCATTTTGTGAGTAATTTAAGGGACAATAGTCGTACTAAAGTTTGCAATGCTGTCCCTGACTGTATACATGAACATGTATTTCCAGAATATCAAAAGGCTAAATAACAGCAGAGCAAAGGAGTCTTATGCCTCTGGATTGTACATTTGTTTGACCGGTGTCCATATATATCCTGCTTATCCTCCTACAGTATGTTACAGATCTTGTACTTTCTAAAAACGGGCATAGACAGCTTATACCACTCTTCTGACTTCAAAGAAGCGTTTAAGGTAGAAAACTTGTCCTAGCGTCATGGCAACAAGCACAAGGGACTCAAAGAAGGACCACCAAACTACACGGCTGTTTGTGTTATCATTGACTGTGGATAGAAAACAAACAATATGAGAATTAAGCAAAACATGCATATTTTTAAGTGGTACAACATATCTAGATAAATGAAAGGTACAGTGAGTAAGTCAGAGTTTGGAAGAACTTAGAGTGGAATGCAATGCTATGAAGCTTTAAAAGTCATCATTATTGTGTGTTTGGTGCTTGAGTGAAAAGCAAGACCACCTGGGTTATCAGGGCTATCAGGAAACTGTTTTCCAAATTCTATCAAACCTGGGATTTCCCTTCTGGCATACACTTTCTGCCAACTCCAAACTACTCTAAACACTTTTTTTTCAAGTAGAAGGGCCCTTTAATGACTACAAGTAATACTACTTTGAGCCAACTGTGATGATTTCACTTACTTGCTCTGTGGATTCTTTCTCTGACTTCCATGTATTCCTGCTCGTGTTTGACTCCCGTCATTGCTTCAGACAGTTGACCAATCATTTCACTTAGCTTATCATGATGGGCACCTGGTAAACAGGAACAAAAGATCTTGTGATCATCTAGCATACTCCAAAATCTTCAGAAGCTGTTCACGCTTGTCAAACAAAATTAATTGATCCTCAACAGATCTTCACCTGACCTTTGCAAGTGTGATAGTAATAATGAAAATGTATCACACATCTAAACAAAGATATGTTGGTCCAGGTGCATGTACTAAATGGAGCATTGCCTAATGTTACAGTTGCCCAGTTTTCTCACCTTCCTCTTTACTGGTATCTTTGGGAGGCTCTCCCAGGTCCATGGAAAACTTGACTATTTTCGGTGTCATGGATGACATTTTGTTGCTAAAGCAGTAATGATAAGTGCCATCCATGTAAGCAGCAAAAGCATATTTTCCATTGGTCTCCCTTTCTCCTGAGTAAATAACTTTTTGATCTGGACCTGTAATCTGCCATATTGGAAAAAAAGGGTTTTATTGTAGCAACAATATTTAGCATCCTTACCATGCTTGGTGCCAAGGTACCCTTTTGAACATAACTATGTTATGAATCTGAAACTATGTATGATAACTTAAGTGTATGACCCACTTGGAAATTTGCATTACATGTAGCTTGGGTAAGGAGTTGGGTTCTGTCTTCATGTATAGGTACACAAGAACCAATACAAAAGACCCAACAACATACAACAGCTAAACAAAGGCTCGTAAAGAAAGGCAGGCCAATGGTTATTCCCTTGGTGTACCTTTACACCAGGGCACAACCAGGAGTTGATCTTGGGAGTTCTGTGTATTTACCCTCTTCATGTAGCTTATGGTCAGGGTTTAGATACTAAACAAGGATTTTAAGTCCAGCTAATCTACAATCCTGATCACTGACAAAGTGCCTGGGGGTAAGTAAGTGAAACACTCATTGTACCAATTATTATTTTTTGGTTCAAGACAAGGGGTGCTCTAGCTACAATCAGTATGCCATTATCATTAGTTTAATCACCAGAAAATATATCAGATTATTACAGATCAGATCTGATGATCAATGGAGTCAAAAAGCCGCACAAGTTTAAGCTTCCAAATTTTTTTACCCTTGCATGCTAACAAAATGACCCTATAAATTGAATTAAGCTACATGTTGAACTTGACTTCATCTGAGTATATTACCCACATAGTGAAATAAGGTCAGCTCGTTCTAGTTCCGTCTGAAGGCAGTCAAATTCCCCATGCATCCAGTAAAGTTTTGGAACATGACTGGATGACTGGATTACGCTACTTACCGTAACATCAATGTCCAAGAAGCCACCTTCGGCCACCTCAAATATGAGCCCCATCTTTGTTCCAGATGTCACTTGGTCGTGGAAACACTCCTCTGCGTGTGCGTCGATCGTTATAAAATAGCCACACGAGCATTCCAACAGAAGTACAAGTAATATTGAGCATAACTCTAAACGTAAAAAAGCCATAATCATCCCTAAAATATAACTAAAGTTCTATACAATCAGTGAAAACTCCACATCAAATCTTTTGTCCAAACGCCACGTCGGATAAGGATTAGACGGCGAGAACGCATGCGTTATAGGTCAATCAACCCGTATTGAACTATGGGAATATTTCGTTTAACCTCACTTTGATGAAGATTTCTGGGGGCGCTTTTCATTTTCTGCAGGGCTGAACGTAACAACATGGCGGACAGCATGCACGCTTCGTAGTGTGAACGTCTTTGCCCAGCTTTGCTTTGAATTACAAAGGAAGTGAACTGTTTTTCAGGTAATTGAAGCTCCTGTGGTTTTTGTATGAATTTCATTGCGAAATGTGAAAGGCAGGTGATAACCTATGCTCTTTTGCAATTATGTTTTAGGTTTTGTTCTGCAGAGAAACCGCCATCATGGCGGCGTGGGTTCAGCCAGGGATTGCGGGATTACCGGCTGAAATCACCGAAGAAAAACTGCAAGAAAAAGGTAATACACGATAATTGTTAAAGGAAACTGACTTTTCGGCCAAATTCACTCGACTAATATTATTTTTCTTCCTTGATTGAAATAAAAATTGTCATGCACGTGAGCAATTCTTCCTACAAATCTTTTAAGTACTGTAACCTGAATGCAGTCGTCCCTTCGCGGCGATCACCAAGATGACCGTTATCATGGCAGTTAACGCCTATTTCTTTCCTTTAAACTTGGCGTAGGTTAACCTGTAGGTATTGTATTCTCTTTGTAACAGATTTCATCAGAATATGGAAGGTGTTTACAATAGAATAAGCATAAAAGTAGAATTGACTGTGATTGAGAATTTGGTTTTGTAAGCAAGTTTCGCTTCATAATTTCTTAAACGGTAAAAACGTCAAGGTAGCAGTATAGAAAAATGGCTAAAAGTGAATTCAGTCACAGTCTGTGCAACAGCCAGCTGTATAATTCTCAGTGCAGATAATTACCAAGCACCAGTAATCAATGGGGTGTACAGGCAGCGCTGGCAGTTTAGCTAGTTTATATTGACAAGTGCAGTGCATATGACGTTGGGGTGCTTTTGTAGGTAAAGAAGTAAGACATTTAGAAGTCCTAAGAAATACTTATTGTAGTCATGGAGACCTTCAGGCAGTTCTAATATATTTATGGTTTCACTTATTGCTTAAACTTTGTAGCTCGAAAATGGCAACAACTCCAGTCAAAGCGATACAGTGAGAAAAGAAAATTTGGATTTGTGGAGGCTCAAAAGGAAGATATGCCTCCAGAGCATGTGAGAAAAATCATTCGGGATCATGGTGACATGTCAAGCAGAAAATACAGGCATGATAAGCGGGTGTACCTGGGGTAAGGAGACTTGAGCTGTTATATTGCAGATCACGTTATTATAAAGTTCTATCACAAACATGAAAAAAAAAAAAACTTAGCTTGTCACTTGTCAGATGAAGGCTGTTTTGTAGTACTTTCAGGTGGTACTGCCTGTTTTTCAGTGTTTTGCAAAGCTATTTTTTGTTACGACATCCAGTTTTGGCATTTTTGAGAGATGTAATCCTTTTCCACTTGGCATTCATTTTGTCCATGTTTATTCTTTGAAGTGCCCTAAAGTACATGCCCCATGCAGTGTTGAAGTTGCTGGAGAACATGCCCATGCCTTGGGAACAGATTAGGGATGTCAAAGTGCTGTATCATATCACTGGTGCCATTACATTTGTAAATGAGATTCCATGGGTTGTTGAGCCTGTTTATTTGGCTCAATGGGGGTAAGTACAAGCTATTATCACTGTGTTTCTAAAATTGTTGTTCTAAACTATATTAGTCTTTCATTAATTTAAAATACTTGGAACACATCCAATGACAACCCTTCCTTCCTGCATCAGACTCAAAGTGTTATAAAGAAAGAGTGAAACTACCTCTAGACAACTAAGTATAATGTACCAAATTGTGATTACTCACAGTGGTAAAACAATGTGTCCTTGTTAGTGTCTAATACCCATAGAAGGGTCCTTGACTTATAAGAGACCAAATGTTGTACTTTTTTGTAAATAAAGTTGTGGTGTTGAAAGAACTTTGCTAGGCAAGAAATAGAATAAAGGAGCAATATTTCAGGACTATTTTGTTCCCATATGATATGCTTCCCTTTGGAAGCAGACTTCTTTTGTCAGATGCTCCTGAAGGGGGAATTGAGTTGTAGCCAAAAATATTTAGATTTTTATTCTGACCATGGTTCAACAACATTGTTCTTACCATCTTAATGTAGTACCATGTGGATCATGATGCGACGTGAAAAGAGAGACAGGAGACATTTCAAGAGGATGAGGTTTCCTCCATTTGATGATGAAGAACCACCTTTGGATTATGCAGACAATATCCTGGATGTTGAACCCCTGGAGCCAATCCAGATGGAGCTGGACCCTGAAGAAGATGGGAGTGTCTACGAATGGTTCTATGATCACAATCCTCTCCTTGATACCAAGTAAGTAAATTGGGCATTTGTTTGTTGCATCAGTACTGTTTGTTGGATCAGAAGAAAAAGCTATTGTGCTGGGTCGGTGGGTGAATAATTTTGCTGTTTATCAACTTGAAGTGGATAAAGGCAAATGAATCGCCATTGTGGCTGTATGAATCAGATGTTTCAAGCATTAGTCCAGTGTTGAAAATAATTTTTATCACATATGGTAGCAGGTCATGTGCCCTTTTAAATCTTCATGCTGGTGGGACATATCAATGTGGCCAAACATTGATTATGCATAATTTGCATTCAAAAATAATCTGGTGATGTCCATGAGAAGCTTAGTGTCTGATCAAAAGTTCATCTTTAATCCTTTTGCTAATGGCCAATAGTATAACCTGAGAAACTAGCTGTCTTTCTTCACACATTTGGATTGTTCCTGCTTGAGGTACCTCTAAGACTGAACCTGAATAATTCCATAATGATGGCATGCATGTGAGGAGCCAACTATTTAAAAGTTGGCATTTGAAAAATCTTGTTATACTAATCATGTGCTTTTCATTTTATTTTATTCAGAATGATCAATGGCTCTTCATACAGGAAATGGAACATTACACTCCCGATCATGTCAACATTGTATCGTCTGGGCAACCAACTTCTGACAGATCTTGTTGACGACAACTATTTTTACCTGTTTGATCTGAAGGCATTTTTCACTGCTAAAGCCTTGAATGTGGCTATTCCTGGAGGGCCAAAATTTGAACCTTTAGTGCGAGATGTGAATGTCCATGACGAGGATTGGAATGAGTTTAACGACATCAACAAGATCATCATTAGGCAGCCTGTGAGGACAGAGTACAGGATTGCATTTCCTTATCTGTACAACAGCTTGCCTTACAAAGTGCATCTTCCCTGGTGAGTCAATCAGGATGGGAGGGGATACTCAAGTTGTAGATCTATTTATTTTGGTTTTCTTTGCCATAACTCATTTTGGTGCATAATGTGGGAAGTGGCAACTTGACAAGTGTACATGTAGGAAGCAAATTTTATGATAGATTTTGTACTGTTTAGCAAACTCTGTGGAAAGGACTTAAACAAAAAAATAAGCGAGAATAAAAAACAAAACTATTCGACAAGGCTATTTAGCATGAACTCTGACCTTGACATTTTATAACTTGATAATAACATTCTGAAATGTATTTTATTCTTGCTTATTTTCTGATTGAAGAATTTTGTACTGTTTTGATAAAATCATCAATGAAATGCTATAAATGTATAGTGTATAGTATAGTACTGTATAGTACTTTTGATCATAATAGATCTTTCCCACATTCCAACAAACAATGGTGCCAAGTCAAGGTCAGGGTGGACAAAAATACACCAAATGTATGAAAATGTCCACCTCAACCTCGCTCTGGAGCTATTGTTCGAATGCACTGGAGTGGAATGCGGGAAAGGTCTATTAGCCATCAGATGCGGGTAACAACATTGCTCAAGACTGCCAATTGTTGTTTGGATTGGTGGCTAAAGAAATCTGGTTCAAGTTACTAGCGCACATCTGTAACTGAAGTTGTTATAGACTGCTCTTTGATCCATACAGTTTGTGAAAAAATAGTTACACTGTACTCTACCCAATGGTGGGATGCTAGCTAGCCTGAACTTTTTGCTGGTATCCATTGACATTCCTGGGTGGAGAGACACAGTCACCCCAGCCAGAATGTGAACCTGAATCACTTGATCTGGAATTTATCATGCTAACCTCTGAGCTTTGTCACAGATCTATGGCTGATATGTGATTCCAGCAGTTCCTGATTCTCTTACCATTTGACCTCACCACTCAGGGGTTTCATTAACATTTTGAGCAGAAGGACAACTGGTTTTCACATACGGGCAAAACTATTTGAACTGAAATTCTTTAAAAGAAAAACTTTTTGCAAGATAGTTAAACCAGACAAACCAGGCAGGTAAAATCTTCCTCATAGCCCGCCCTTAATGAAACCTCTGACCACTACCCATATATGCTTCCTGTACAGTTTAAGTACAATAACTTTAGACACATGTACAGTACAGTGATAAATTCGAACTTGAGTCAGATGGTGTGCCTTCTTTTCAGGTATCACCACCCTTCAGTTGTGTACATTAAAACAGAGGACCCTGATCTTCCAGCATTTTACTTTGATCCTCTTGTGAATCCAATTGCCCACAGGCATGCAGTCAAGGTACCTTTGTTGGTATTTTACATGTCGTGAAAAATAACAAACCCTCGTAATGGTAGAAAATGACCTGAAGGTCAGTGAGCTGAGAGGGCCATGTACAGCTTAGGGAGCTTATATACATCATTACATGTGTAAGAAGTGATGAGGGTGATCAATGCTGAAGGCAAAGACAACACTTTTGAATTTGAATTTGTGTTATCTTTATCCTGCATGAATGGATAATAAAATGTTCTTTTTATACCGACTTGAATAATTCATTCAAGTTCTCTAAGTTACTGGATCGTTTTAGCTTGGGTGCAGTAACAGACAGTTTGGGTTTAGGAACAATGAAATCACGTGTTGAACAATATAACAGAGATGCAGATATCCAGATCTGTTCAGGATGTTATCAGTTTTACTACAAGCTTAAACAACTGTCTCACCCATTTATATATTTAACACAAGTTACCTAGAATTGAAATGTCAATATTTGGTCTTATAAAGAGTCAATGTTGTTGTGTTAGACAACAGAGCCCCAACCTGATGAAGATGAAGATTTTGAGCTGCCAGAGGATATTCAGCCATTCTTACAGGATACACCACTTTACACAGACAACACAGCAAATGGTTAGGCTTTCTTTCATTTTGTTCACTTTTTTCTGACTAAAATTAGCTACAACTTGGGAAGTTGTTGAGGATGATTTTTCTGGATAAGTTCGTTTTATTATTAACAGTTGTCATTTTATGGGTTGTCATCTTGTATATGTAGGTATCTCTTTGCTGTGGGCTCCAAGACCATTCTGTTTGAGATCTGCCAGAACTCGTCGAGCAATTGATATACCTTTGGTAAAGACCTGGTAAGAATTCCTTTCACTTTTATCCACCTAGTAACTATAAATTGTAACAAAAAGATTCCATGTTGCTGTGCTTCTGTTCAGTAGATCACAGATGATATCTTAAATAATGTGGTAAGAACAAAAAAGTGGCACACAAGATGATAGGCAAGTGTGTTACTGATGTTCTTACCACATATTGATGTCATCTGTGGTCTATTACTGAACAGATGGACAGCGACATGGAGTTCACTTGTATTATATAGTAAAGAAGTGGAAAATTAAACATGTTAATGATGTCATATATATGTCTGTCCTCCAAAATGCAAGAATAGTTTGTCTTATTTTGTATAAAAAATATGTCTTGCAGATATCTACTGAAATGTGTAGCTCTCCATCTAAAAGTGTAATTTTAAATGTTATTGTGATCGTTTTGTTGAACTCATCTGGCAACTTTGTAAGTGCTTTAAATACTTGATTCTTAGGTATCGTGAACACTGTCCGTCTGGTCACCCAGTTAAGGTGCGGGTGTCATATCAAAAGCTTCTCAAGTGCTATGTTTTGAATGCACTTAAACACAGAGCACCCAAAGCACAGAAGAAGAGGTCAGTTTGAAGCTTTGAACTTACAGTGTTATACTTACATGTAATACAGCTTTTGTTGCAAGTTAAAATGTTGGAATTTTGTACATGGTGTCATAGATCAATATACAAACATGTTTACTTGCAACCCAAACTACAATGTATGCTTAGCATAGAAAACAAATGTTTAACTCCCAACTGAAAACTTTTCTGTAGATTGCCTGGTAAAAGATAAACATTGAAATTAACCTAAAAAAGATAAACCTGCCCTAACAAATAAAGGATTGATTGATTGATTCTGAAGCCTTTAGGTCTTTCTTTGCTACATGTACATGTACTACAGCTCTAAAAGATATACCAGATATATATATGTACAGTACCGCTCAAAAGTAAGTTACCACCGTCTCGCGAGACGTGTCTCGTTTCTCGCGAGACTCGTCTCGAGAGAAACGAGATGAGTCTCGATAGAAACGAGACGAGTCTCGTTTCTCGCGAGTGCACTGGAAGTACCAATGGTACGCATTCGTCGGTATTCGAAACCTGTTTCGTTAATAAGACGTCTGTATCGTATCGTATCGATTAGCGCGGTAGACACGATTTTCATTCTCATCAGCAATGCGTGTGCACCATGTGTTTATTATAAATTCTCAAGCGTCCAGTATTGTTTCATATACATCGGCCAAACCTTTTTTTATTCCAGCCAGACTTGCTTAACGTTTAGT